TTAGATTTGTTCCATTCGCCCAAAAATATACGGAGGACAAGCGGCAAGCCGGTAACGTCAAGATGATGTGCGAACGACAAAGCAGTTGCATACAGATAACATGAGTACGCTGACAGTGTGTGCGAGTGTTTTCGTCTCAGTCAGTGACTCTGATCTACTTCCTTTGCTCTCTCGCTCTGACAGGTTGAGATAGAATGAGAGAGCTGTCCTCTTTTCTGACATCAGTACTCTTATACCGGGCTCATTTGTTCAGTGGGATGTCAGCAATTGCAGTTGAGAGACTTAATGAGAAGCAGAGCAGAAACAGAGAGAAGGAATCTTTCATTCTTCAAGCATTCCCAAAAGACAAACTGCTAAAAACGTGCATTGAATAAACCACAGTTGTAGTAGAGTATGTGAATGGTTTCATGAAATAAACAATTACATAGACCGAACAGTAACTGGATTAATAATAATGATAATAATGGTGATTATTATTTCAAGTTATTTAATAAAAAAAAAAATATATATATTTCTATTATTTTTTCTGATCACAATTATTTGTGTCAGTCAGAAATATTATTTTATTTAAAAAAAGGCTATATAATTTTTAAATATTCTTTTGATGATCACAGTGCATGGAAATCTGAGAATAAAACTAAATTTTAAAGTTTGTTCTGCATATCAGTTCTTGGATACTTGCATAAACAAAAATAACCTCCATCGAACCGTAATAAAAATAATGGTAAAAAGTAAGAGTAAAAATGTTATTTATACATTAAAGAAAAAAATTCTTTTTTTTCTACAGATTTTTTTCAACAGTTCTTAATGTGTGAAAATCAGAATTGGTTCTGCATATTGGTTATGGTATATTTACATAAAAAAAAATGATAAAAGGGCAATATTGTTCATTCCAGAATGCTTTGAGCGAACAGGGGGAAAATTGCTCTCTATAATCTATAAAAGATTTTAATAAATTCACCATGGCATATTTAAAGCATCTTAAATCCTATTAGCGACCATAAAAAGAATAAACTAGTCTATACACGGCACTTTAACACAGTATACACACACACATCTGAGAAAGATTTACTTCCACCATTGTTCCACAAGAAGCGTGTCCCTCCATACACCCGATCACACAACTTAAAACTGCACATAAGCTACAGTGCAAATTGATGCCTGCTGTGCAAGAACATGAATATTTCATGGACAGTATGAAAAAACACATTTACATTAATAATTAGCAGCAGCCTTTAACCTTTTCCAGAGAACAGAGCACTATATTTTGAGTAATGAAGAGGTGTGAGAGGACTCTTATCATATCAATAACAGTGCCTATGGCAAACATCTCTTTGATTTAAGGACATCTGATTATTCGCTATCAGACAGACATCATGGCTCGGCTACTCGGCTAGTGGAAGGGTTTGAATCTCCAGAGACGTGGCAGTAATGGAGAAGAAAATAAGCTGTAGTCTATGTTACTCAGTGTAATGTCAAAGGTTCATGTCTGGTAATGTAGAGACTGAAAGAAAAAAAAATATAATACAGACAATAAAAAATGTCAGAAAGCTGCTGTCACCCCAGTCCACTCACATACTGTGATCCAGTCCGTGCTTTACTTGGCAGGCAGCCGACAAAGCTTGATGCTATGCTACTATTCTTGTTGGCAGATAAAAAGTACACAAACTGGTCTTGTCCGAATGTAAAGTGTGAGATATTACTTAATTGTGAGTAGCTGTTAAAAGCCAACATTCCTAGATCTTTAAAGTCCCCAAAATCGATCATACTTACTTTGTTTGCCTAAATTGATTGTTTTGTGGTGAACAATTCATACATGCAAGTCGATCCACACAAAAAATGTATTTGGCTTTGTAAACTTTAATCAAATTTTGAAAATGCCCCTCCCCTCTGCATTGGAGGACCTTGCCCGATGACATAGGCTTTACGGTTTGGGTGTCTCCCTAACATCCATAACCACGCCCTTCCAACTGACAGCTGCTGTGTGTTTGCGAGCGCCGAGCGAGCATTGATTGACAGCGTGTGTAAACTTGCGTCATCCTCCATTTCAGAATGAAACACCCATTTTTCTAGATCCAATCAGGTGCTAGTTGGAAAAAAAAGCCACGCCCACTATTTCGCCTCATTTAGAGTATTCCGTTTCTCTCGGAAATACGTCACAACACTTGAGAAAAGTCGTTTGCAACTTCCGGTTCACGGGGACTTTAACATACTGATCTCCTAGGAATATATGCCATCTTCATTGCAGGAGAGGCAGCCTGTGGTTTTGCTACTACCCCGTATATTAGATGACAGGCGCTGTTATACTAACACTTTGCACAGCATCTGGTATATTTCACATTACGACTACTACTGAGATGACAATGTCTGTCTCACTTAGTCTGTCTCCGTCTCATCGACTCAAATACACACATTCATACACAAACACATCCAGTGCAACAAGGAAAACATTTACAGGCCTTCTGAAGAGCTGCTTTGTTTGAGAGTTTTAGTGTCACCTTAAGCCCCGTTCACACCGCCAGCGATTTTGTCGCTGTGTGTCGCTAGGCTCTGTACTGTGATGTCGCTCGTGGGCGTTCGTCGCTCTGATGTTATTGGTAGACTGCACGTCTGGCCGTATCTATACAAAAGACCATCACAAGTGATATATAATTTTAATTTGACTGGGAATAAAAGACTTTTAAGGCTAAAAAGAAACCGTATGCTGTTGGGAGAGTGTTTTTATATCTCCACAGCTGTGTTCAGTGGATTAAATCATTTACTAGATCAACGATCAATCAATGAACAAATTAAACTCACTCATACGATCACAAATTATATTTGAATTTGACAAATAATCAATTTTCTTGTCCCTAATAGTCAACGTAATGCAGGGGAAATTGTAAAATGAACTGCAGCAGTGTTAAACGTGCATCATAAAATTACACACTCGAACTATAACGTTAAACGTATGAATTAAACGTGTGTCTTGCCTGCCCTGCACTTGAGATGGTGACGTGAGCTCCACTGAAAGTCTTCTTTCCTATTGGTTGTCGCTCGCGAAAATCGCTTCTCATTTGCATAAAGTTGAAAATTCTCAACTTTTGTCGCTTGTCGCTTGACACGCCCACATTCTGTCACCAACGGTCACCGTCGCTCGTGTCGCCAGCGCTCCATTGAAATGAATGGGATCCTGTCGCTTTATCGCTGTGTGTCTCTGGCGGTGTGAACGGGGCTTTATTGATTACCTAGTTCTGTCATGAAACTCTGGATGGCGCAGGCTGATAGATCTAAATCATTTAGTAGCGAATAGCGATCACGTTATTATCTTTGCACTGCTGATTGGTTGTTGCATCAGCGGCAATTGAGCTCAACATTCAAACACATAGCAGTAGTGCTGCTGTTAGCAGTCTGCAGCGCGCTTCAGAAACCCTCCACCTATATACATCTGCTATGGGGCTATTTCATATATAACATGTGCAGCAGCAATTACTGTAAATGTATTGGCAGTAGAAGTTTAGGTACTGCTCTGCAGCAGCAAAAGTCAAAACTGATTGAATAAAAATTTAGTTTGTAAAGCCAAAAATACTGATTAAATAAAATTATATATATCAAGTTATATACAACTTGTCATATATATATATATATATATATATATATATATATATATATATGTGAAGAGTTCAGATGCAAAAGCCTCTAATTTTAGCCTCTAAAACGCCATGAATGACACAAAAATGGTGTCATGTAAATGTCCCCAGACACAAAGAATAATCAAAATAACAAGGAACAGGTGCAAAACTAATTAGAAAACATGGTAACAAATGAACATGACAATTTTGTGACAGTCTAACTGACTGTCGTTTAACTACTCATTAAAATAATAAAATGAAAAGTGTTTTTGTTTCTTACCATTAAAAACTAAGGTTGTCAATATAGTCTCATAATCTCTAACCAGTTTTTAGAAAGAATGAAACCGTAAAAATATCAAATTCGGTATTGCATTAAACAGATTAAATAATATCTCAAACACATTAACGTTGAAAGGTGTAAAAATACAGTAACTACCTTTTGCATCCCCATCAACATACATCTACACAGTCTAAAAACTTAACATTATGCTCAGGTAAGAATCTTATGTCTGAAGATGCAAAAACACAAAGCGTTTGCAAAAAAAAAGGAGAATTCAAAGAGAAAATTGTGTAATGTGAGTGGCTTTGGTAAGAAATCACCTTTTGTGAACAGAATACAAAGTGTAATAATTTGCTTTGCGAAGTCAATGAAGGTTAGCCAGCCACATTAAAACACAAGTGTTTAAGAGATCTTGGATCCCAGAATCCATCGCTGTAAAGCTTAACTGTACCCCAAATGGGCCATACATTTTTAAAGAGTAAACTCAGGTTGTATTGGGTCAGATTCTTTTTACAACTATCCCTCATCCAGGTATTTAAGAACCTGTAGCATTAACAAGAACCTTAATAACATCAATTACATTCTCCAGCGTGACGGTGGGAAGTTTAAAATACAAGGAGGAGGGAGGAATATGCTCAAAGATTGATACAAGACGAGAGAGAGACTGGGTTTTAATCTCTTCTATAAATCAGATTACACACTCGGTTAGAAACGGAAAGGAAGAGAGAGGCACATATTTGTGATGGCCACAGCTCAGTAATCTGCAGCCCTGTCTAACTGAGCACCAGCTTGCTAATGAGAAGACAACCACAAACAGAATACGCAAGCCAAGCTTTGAAACATGAGGTTATATTTAGACGAGTAGGAGAGACTGCATTAACACGCTCACACTCCCCTCTCAATATCTATTCCTCATCTGAGGAGGGATTTACTGTAGTGTTCTTATAGGAGATGGTTTTCTCTTTATAGGCCACCAAAGACGCATTTAAAACATGCTATGATTTAGGAGAAGAGCTAAACCAGCAATGCTTTAATAAAAATGTGCATGGTTTAAAAAATTAAACCAAAAAAAATAATTAAGTTTAGTCAGGTTTTGGCACATTACTAACCTTCTTGGTAAAGTCCATGGCTTTGAGAATCGCCAGGTTGAGTGTCTCTAGGGAGGCCAGCACACCTTCGTAATCTCCCATGTGGTTGGCAAAGTAGTCTGATGAACAGAGAGAGATGAGGCAGAACTGAATTATGAAATATTTTCTCCATGGGAGAATGAAAACATGGAAGCAAAAAGAAAATTGCCTCAAAAAGAAAATTACAAAACAGAAATTGTGCAAAATCTATTGACTTAAGCTGTAACTGACACTCGGTTGAATGACTACACTAATATTGCTATTATTAATCAGTAAACATACTACACAACTGAATTCAAATAAAAATGCTTGTTTGCAAAGCATATTCTAAACTGACAGTTTATTTTCTGATACTCACCACATAGTTCCTTGGTGTCGACATTACTAATACATCACAGGAAATGGGTAGCATACAGAAAGACAGAACAGAAGAGGGAGGAAAGGAAAGGGATAAGAAACAGGGGGAAATCCAGCATAAATCACACATTATATTATGTCCTACAACAGTGGGCAAAAAGAAACTCACTAAAATATCTATCCATTTACTATGGAAGCTTGTTTCCGCCACAGAATGAAAAATAAAGAAAGGTAATTTCGACTTTTTATTTCATAATTGCGAGTTTACATCTCGCAATTCTGACTTTATTTCTCAGAATTGCGAAATATAAAGTCAGAATTGCGAGATATAAAGTCGCAATAGCGTGTTATAAGGTCAGAATTGTGATATGTAGTCAGAATTGCGTGATATAAAGTCAGAATTGCGAGATATAAAGTTGCAAGTGCGTGTTATAAGGGCAGAATTGCGAGATATAAAGTCAGAATTGCGAGATAGTCACAATTGCGTGTTCAGAAGGTCAGAATTGGTCAGAAAAAGGTCCGAATTGAGATAAAGTATATAGTCAGAATTGCGTGATATAAAGTCAGAATTGCGTGATATAAAGTTGCAAGTGCGTGTTATAAGGTCAGAATTGCGATATATAGTCAGAATTGCGAGATATAAAGTCAGAATTGCGATATATAGTCAGAATTGTGTGATATAAAGTTGCAAGTGCGTTTTATAAGGTCAGAATTGCGATATATAGTCAGAATTGCGAGATATAAAGTCAGAATTGCGATATATAGTCAGAATTGCGAGATATAAAGTCAGAATTGTGTGATATAAAGTCACAATTGCGAGATATAAAGTCAGAATTGCGAGATATAGTCAAAATTGTGTGATATAAAGTCAGAATTGCGTGATATAAAGTTGCAAGTGCGTGTTATAAGGTCAGAATTGCGATATATAGTCAGAATTGCGAGATATAAAGTCAGAATTGCGATATATAGTCAGAATTGCGAGATATAAAGTCGGAATTGTGTGATATAAAGTCACAATTGCGAGATATAAAGTCAGAATTGCGAGATATAAAGTTGCAAGTGCGTGTTGTAAGGTCAGAATTGCGAGATATAGTCAGAATTGTGTGATATAAAGTCAGAATTGTGTGATATAAAGTCAGAATTGTGTGATATAAAGTCACAATTGCGAGATATAAAGTCAGAATTGCGAGATATAGTCAAAATTGTGTGATATAAAGTCAGAATTGCGAGATATAAAGTTGCAAGTGCGTGTTGTAAGGTCAGAATTGCGATATATAAAGTCAGAATTGCGAGATAGTCACAATTGCGTGTTATAAGGTCAGAATTGAGATACAGTATATAGTCAGAATGGCGAGATATAAAGTTGCAAGTGCGTGTTGTAAGGTCAGAATTGAGATATATAAAGTCAGAATTGCGAGATATAAAGTCACAATTGCGTGTTATAAGGTCAGAATTGCGATATATAGTCAGAATTGCGTGTTGTAAGTTCAGAATTGCGATATATAAAGTCAGAATTGCGATGTGTAAAGTCAGAATTGCGAAATATAGTCACAATTACGTGTTATAAGGTCAGAATTGAGATACAGTATATAGTCAGAATTGCGTGATATAAAGTTGCAAGTGCGTGTTGTAAGGTCAGAATTGCGATATATAAAGTCAGAATTGCGAGATATAAAGTCGCAATTGCGTGTTATAGGGTCAGAATTGAGATACAGTATATAGTCAGAATGGCGAGATATAAAGTTGCAAGTGCGTTTTATAAGGTCAGAATTGCGATATATAGTCAGAATTGCGAGATATAAAGTCAGAATTGCGATATATAGTCAGAATTGCGAGATATAAAGTCAGAATTGTGTGATATAAAGTCACAATTGCGAGATATAAAGTCAGAATTGCGAGATATAGTCAAAATTGTGTGATATAAAGTCAGAATTGCGTGATATAAAGTTGCAAGTGCGTGTTATAAGGTCAGAATTGCGATATATAGTCAGAATTGCGAGATATAAAGTCAGAATTGCGATATATAGTCAGAATTGCGAGATATAAAGTCGGAATTGTGTGATATAAAGTCACAATTGCGAGATATAAAGTCAGAATTGCGAGATATAAAGTTGCAAGTGCGTGTTGTAAGGTCAGAATTGCGAGATATAGTCAGAATTGTGTGATATAAAGTCAGAATTGTGTGATATAAAGTCAGAATTGTGTGATATAAAGTCACAATTGCGAGATATAAAGTCAGAATTGCGAGATATAGTCAAAATTGTGTGATATAAAGTCAGAATTGCGAGATATAAAGTTGCAAGTGCGTGTTGTAAGGTCAGAATTGCGATATATAAAGTCAGAATTGCGAGATAGTCACAATTGCGTGTTATAAGGTCAGAATTGAGATACAGTATATAGTCAGAATGGCGAGATATAAAGTTGCAAGTGCGTGTTGTAAGGTCAGAATTGAGATATATAAAGTCAGAATTGCGAGATATAAAGTCACAATTGCGTGTTATAAGGTCAGAATTGCGATATATAGTCAGAATTGCGTGTTGTAAGTTCAGAATTGCGATATATAAAGTCAGAATTGCGATGTGTAAAGTCAGAATTGCGAAATATAGTCACAATTACGTGTTATAAGGTCAGAATTGAGATACAGTATATAGTCAGAATTGCGTGATATAAAGTTGCAAGTGCGTGTTGTAAGGTCAGAATTGCGATATATAAAGTCAGAATTGCGAGATATAAAGTCGCAATTGTGTGTTATAGGGTAAGAATTGCAATACATAAAGTCAAAATTGCATGATATAAAGCCAAATTTATGGATTTTTTTTCTTGCTGAAAATATTTAAATATGTGAAATTAAAGAAGTAAAATGATTTGCAAACAGACATTGGGATTGACTTTTTTGACCAATGAGATTTCATAATGGGAGGAGAATAACAAAATGAGAATAACACAAATAACAAAATGTCCTGTCGTTAGTTATGGTCTCATCTAGTTAGAACAAACATTTCCACAGTTGTTCATGGTTAGAGCACTGTAAAAAAATGATGAATAAACGGAGGATAAAAGATGCAAAAGAATGCATGTTTCATTTCAAATCTCCAACATGAGTGTAAATGAGAAACAAGCACACAAAGGCGACATCATGCATTACACTCTCAATTTTCTTTCTTCCATTTGAGCTTCATCCACTTCAGTCTCTCTCAGCACCCCCCATCCCAGTGTCTTCCCCAACCCTCCCCCATCTCATCATCTAGCCGTCTTGTCTCCGAGTCCATCCCCTTCGCTCCACCAGTCCTTATGGGCTCTGGTGGTTCATTATTTAGAGAGAAGGCTGCGTTGGACCTGAGAGCAGCAAACGCATCCCAGCAGCTGCAAACGTCTCCTCATTTTTTACATAATTCATTCTGAAATGTGATTAAAAACAACACACACACACTGGAGCTACTCGGCCTCCAGAGACCATCTCACACACCTATACACACAAGCACTGAGAAATGGGGTGTGTGAGACAGAGAGAAAAGAAAGAGAGAAATGGCAGCAGATCACTATAGATGAGACAGATGTACTCACGATGACAGAAAGACCCTTTCCAAACACAAAACTTTGAGAGAGAGAGAGTAAAGCAATGTTCTGCAAATTTATAAGCTGTTCCGAAGGGTCTAAGGGGTTTCCACTTTTCTTGCTGTCCATTAACCATCATTATGTCCATCAAAATGAAATCTGCCTAATTTGGTTCCTGAGAAACCATAAAAAATATTGTTGGTTTAACTTAAAAAAAAATAAGTAACCTGGTTGCCTTAAAAATTTTAAGTTCATTGAAATGGAAAAATTGAGTTAATACAAGGAAGGAGATGATTTAATCATCAGAAACTCAAAATATTATGTTATCTGAACTACATTCATTTTCTAAATTGATTTGACAAAAGAAAAAATGTTGTGATTACAAATCATGAAAATATTTTTTTTACAGTTTGGAAATGATTCGAAGATATCTATACTGTAAAAAAATATTTTCAAGATTTGTTATCACAACATTTTTTTCTTTTGTCAAATCTACTTAAATAATTTATTTAGTTGAGATAACTTATTATTTTGAGTTTCTGATGATTAAATTAATCTCTTTCATTGTATTAACTCACTTTTTCCAGTTCAATCAACTTAAAATTTTAAGGCAACCAGGTTACTTACTTTTTTAAGTTAAACCAACAATAGTTTTTTACAGTGTACCCTACAACTTCCAAAGATTGTACATCAGTTTCTCCAAATACAGATAATTTTGTCCCAGCGAGAAAATTGTATTGCATAGAACCAGACTTTTAATCTTAAAATGTAAAAAAAAAAACATTTTAAAATTATTACCATTAACCATTTTTTTGCCAGCCATATTTATTTGTGTAATTTCCAGACAAGCTGTATTTCTGCTAAAATGAAAATATCAATCAATTGATTACTTTAAATAAATAGTTCACTCAAAAAAGAAAATTATCCCATTATTTACTCACCTTCAAGCCATCCTAGATTGTTATTTAATACAACCAGAGTTGTCTTGTGTCTTCTATTGTGACTGAGGTCGGTTCACTGAATGTGTATTGAGAGTTGTGTGTGTCTGTAATCACCTGGTGTTATCAGAGTCAATGGTGTGAAACAGTTTTTCCAACTCCTCTTCATTCAGAGTGCCATCCGAGAAGAAAGCCTGGAACTCATCAAGGGAGAGTTTTCCATCATCTGCAGGGGGAAGAGAAGAGATTTTAGCTGCACGCCTCATTCCTTTTTAACACACCAGGCAGAACTGTGTATCAGCACCATGGGTATTTTTGTAACTACATCTTAACAGGTAGAACATCACAAGTACAATCAGAATCAAGTTTTAATGTCTAAAAATATATATCAGTTCTATACTCTCACATGTCTAAAACATTCTTATTAATAGCCTAGTATGCAAAGAAAATGCTCTCACATAAAACTGATGGATTTAAAGCTACACTGTGTAACTCTTTTAGTTTATTCTTAGCTAAAAACACTTAGTTCTCATTAATGTATATTTACTTCGTTCAAGTAATAAAGTATTCTCGTGAGTGTATAATATGCCTTTGAAAATACATACGGGTGAGGGGATCTAATGTCGGTCGCCATGTTGCCCCTCCATCTTGAAAGTACATTAGCCAAAGAGGGACATACCCGTTAATTCAAGCTTTAGGTTTGAGTTAACACTCATGGACGAGGTCGAACTGGAAGCCATGTTAATCTTGGACTACATTGGCCACCGTAGGAGTTAAAATGAAATTGTAATTGAGAGGAACAGAAACTAATATTCACTGGATGGTCATATATCTTTTCACCACTAGATGGGGGTAAAAATCACACAGTGTAGCTTTAAGTGTTTGCGCACATTAATTCTTTCTTAATCCTCGTTCTTATGTTAATAATGTTCTTAATGAGGAAATGAGAGCCCACAGTTAGTAATTAACATGATACATGCCCAAACCATCTCCACCTAAGGGTTTTTTGAACTATTTCTTTATTTGTCACTGTTAGCAGATGAATGATTATGCTCTCTATAGATGCACATCAAGATGAGTAAGCCCAGTGTGCCATTCTTTATACAGAAGTTGATACATAATAATTATAAGTAATTTTTACTACTCTGAACATATTGTATTTGGTTATTCAATTTACATACTGTACGTACTATATTGACCAAAGTATTGGGACTCCTGACCATTACACCAACAGAGACTGTAATGAAATAGCATTCTAACAAAAAAAAAAACAAACAAAAAAACGAACAGGAGAGTCACGAACTCGTATCACAGAACAGAGCAAGGCAAGCATTTTGTGCTAATAAAACTTAAACTTTTTTATTTATTTTTAAAATGAGCGATCGTTTCGCTAGATAAGACCCTTATTCATCGTCTGGTGTCCTTTGAAGCTGCCCTGAAACTCTCATTTGGACCTTGAATCGTTAGGTGCCCAATGAAGTCCATTATATGGAGAAAACCTTAAAACCTTAATATCTTTTTGACTGAAGAATGAAAGACGTGGACATCTTGGATGATATGGGGGTGAGTAAATTATCAGCAAATGTTTTTTTAAAAGTGAACTACTCTAATATTTTTGTGGTAACCGTGATATATTTTTTTAGTTTTTCCTAAAAAATTCCGTTCAAAAGAACAATTTAATAGAGATAGAAGTTTTTACAGCGACTTTTGATCAATTTAAAGTGTTCCCTTACTAACTTAAATATATAAAGATCCTCATGGTAACTGTATAGATGTGTATTGACATTTTTTCAAGCATCCCCAGTAAAGAGAGACAGAAGGCTACTAGAAGAATAAATTGTATTGACTTCCTCTGTGGGGAAGGGTGGTGAGAAAAGGGAAGGGAAGGGGGGGTGTTGCAAACAGAGGAGTCTCAAATGCAGTCAATGCCGGCTGAAATTAAATATTCATCACCCTGGATTTGTCCTTGAAGAAAGAACTGCACTTATTGGACAAACTAAAGCCGAAATACAATATGAAAGCAGGTGCCGCCAATTACTATTTTCCAAAGAAACTATTGGATTGTAGTTTTGAACAACACACAGCAATGCATACAATACTTTACATTGTGTTTTTTCTTTACCTCCATAATGTTCTAGTTCTTTCCGTCACCATCACATGCCTCACACACAGTTATGAAGTGAAGGCGGAAGGGAAACAGTTCTTTCTGTGAACCATAGCTCTTCCATGGAGTGTGTCTCTGTCTTTCCCCCATTTTTATGTAAGGCTGAGGAGCACGGGAAACCCAGCCCATAATTAGGCAGTGACCCACTTTTCTTATCTTTTCCTCTGGAAGAAGTGCAAGCTCAGGAAACAAACATACTTCCCCAGTTTCTACGTTCACCATTGTGCTGCTCTGATGACAGCTGATGCCTGTAATAGATTTTAACGAGTCAATAAACCTCTCTGCACTGGGTTGGGTTGACAAAGTAATCCTATACAACACGCATTTCATGTCGAAGATCTGTGTTTGCATGATGCTGGTTAGAAAGAACGAATTTTAGTTTCTCGCAGAGCTATTTAAAGGTGCAGTGTGTGTTTTTTAGTGACATCTAGGTTGGCTCAGTTGTGAGTTGCACTAAGGGCTCAGCCCACTGCTGAATTCTCTCTTTCGAAGAAGCTACGGTGGCTAAAACGGGACAAACATATCGTCGCCTGTAACACTGTCACTGTTTCTGTGCCACGGTCCATTATAAACCACATCATGGATAAAGTTTACAAAGCCATAGTCAGGTGAGGATCAAGGGTCTTAATATATAATACAAAAGTTCCTCATTTTTACGAACCGATATCGATTCTTAAATCTCAATAATCGATTAGTCATCCTGTTTCATTTGAATGAATGGAACATTGCATCGCGGCTGCGCGCATCCAAAAAAATCGCAATAATCTTTGTCCTTTGTTACTATTGATATTAAACAAAGTCTCAAATTTCAAATTACGTCCATTTTCTTTAGAAATTCAAAAACATAAATAACGTTTTGGCGCTGTGGCGTGAGATCGCTCTGGCGCAGCACAAGAGAAGCAGCAGCGCTGATCTCTCTTCCGGGTTAATAATACCAATCACAGCGCGAAATAAACATGAATGAGCATCTGAAAGTGTGTTAATTAAAAGATAGAGTACAACTTATCGAAATCCGCATCATGTCTCATTGATTCGCTCAATCAGCGTATCAACCGTGGAAAGACGTCAGTTAAACAGCTTGTAATCAATGTCGTGTATCGTCATATTTACCTCAGAAAACCCACTTAAACTCGTTAGTCAGTTAGAAAAAATAGCTCCAGAGAGGAGCATTTTGCTAAATCTATAGGCTACACCATATTACATACATTATAATCTTAATGTTTTTCAATATTCAATGCATATTTGAATAAATCTGGCATTTTTTTATGACAGCCACCATTTACATGTTTATAGGCTATTTCATATAATCATATTATTATACAAAATAAATAAAAGTGTAATTTAAGTGTTTGTATAGCTACAAAACAGTTAATTATTACCCTCATATTAGGCTAATGAAGCCTAGTAGGCTACAACTAGACTAGACAACCCATAGTTTACAGCATTACTTAAGAGATTTGATTTCCTTGAGAAAATTTGCCATTTATTGCAACTGATATCCAAAACAATCAATATTGAATCGAAATCGAATTGCAAGCTTGTGAATCGAAATCGAATCGAATTGTGAAATTTGTGTCAATACCCAGCACTACTTCCTACATGACGTCACAACATACGGGCATTTGCCGACCCGCCGCCATTGCTGTGGGCATAACATTAGAAGAAGCAATACGAGTTAATGACAGTGATGGCCACATTAAGTTGCATTTTTAAGTGCAAAAAGATTGTGAGCAAGACTTGAGCTGAAGGAGGGGGGTTTCACGAACACTCCTGCGCAATTACCTCAGAACTGCTGCCCTCACCTAAACTGCAGGTGGGCTACTGTAATGCTGCTTGATGGATAGAAATGGTTTATCTTTCCAGATAATGTGAATGGCCTTTCAGTGGGATTTAAAAGTTCAAAGTCTCATTTGACACAGTAAGAGTGTCATGACAACGGCAGCTTCTCATTTACACAGAACCAAAGCTTATTTGAAACTTTAACAATACTCCTTTACTGCCTTGCAAGTACTAGAAATGTACTACGATTTAAAAGTTTGGGGAGAGTCTCTTATTCTCATTATTGCAATAAAAAAATAGTAATATTGTGAAATATTATTATATTTTGAAACTGTTTTAATATGCTAATATGGTGCTTCAGAAACATTCCTTCTTATCAATGTTTTATTTAAAAGTGCACTATGCAAAGTAAAAAGTTATTTCACCCAAAAATAAAAAAAATCTGTCATCATTTATTCACCCTCATGTCATTCCAAACCCGTAAGACTTTCGTTCATCTCTGAAACACAAATGAAGTTCTTCTTGATTAAATCTGAGAGCTTTCTGTTCCTCCATTGACAACAACATAACTGACGCTTCAAAAAGTTCATAAAGAGCTCATAAAACTAATCCATATGAATTGAGCGATTTATTCCAGCACGATTTGTCTAAATTAAATCTGTTCATCATATAAAGTCATAGTGTCTTCGGACTAATTTGGACTAAACCGCTAAATTAATAAGGATTAGTACGATTTCTTTGTGAACTTTTTGAAGCATTAAAGACTCAGTTGATTAGGGACACAAATCTCTCAGATTTAATCAAAAAGTTCTTCATTTGTGCTCTCCAAAGACGAACGAGCGTCTTACGGGTTTGGAACAACATGAGTGTGTAAGTGATTGATGACATCATTTTTGAGTGAATTTTGAGTCTATTTTTCTAGCCCAGAGGAGGGGCTAAGCTGAATGTTGTCTGCATAGTGTACCTTTATTATATATACAAAATACAGACAAGCTAGTCAACTAGTCATTTGATGGACAACTGACCACTGTGACCTATCTCTTTAAGAGGACATCGTTGCCTCTAGCTGCCTCTGATTGAGTGTAGACGGATGGATTATACTTCATGTAATGGCCAGGCATAATGTTCTCTTCTCTCTTCATCTTTTCTATGTCACCATTATATTCTCCAGAGATATGTGGACTTTGGCACATAAACCAGTCCAGTTGCAGTGAGAATGTAGATGGGAAAGCCATTGGGCTACAGCAATGCTGCTTGATGGACAGAAATGGTTTATCTTTATA